CGACTCCGACGGCGAAGATGATAATTCTGTCGCACAATTTTATAAAATAATGTATTCAACTTCTCTGCTTACGGGGGTCACTGACTTCACTACCTAGCTCGCTCTCACCAATTTACTTGCGTACTTGTAATAAATCTACTACCTATATGCTTAAACTACAATTTTAGACTTGATATTCAATTTCTGCATTAATGTCTTTTCATTTGTCGCTTTCTTGATTATGCGTGCTTAATATACATATCTCTGATTCGCCATGGGTTGGGCTTCTTTACATAGGCTGGTTCCTTGTAACGATGGGCTTGGCTTTGATATCATCCTCATAATCACGTTCATGGGCCGAAGACGCCAGGTGTCATTCCATGTTGCATATTTCAGTCATGCATTTTTTGCCGAAAGATGCATGTTGGTGGTACCTTTAAATTGTTTTAGTTCACATTGTAGTTCAATATACAACAAGAGTCAAAATGACATACTTTATATGCTAATTTTTACTGTAGTAAAAATTAATGAAATACAGGATTGGTTGACAGAGGAGACCATAATGAGAGGGGACTGGGGACTGGGGAGTAGAATTTGTCCTGCACAAGTTAAGAACTTCTTGTTATTAAATTATCACAAAAAGTGTAAGCATTCCTTACCAATCTTTGATTTGATTTTTTTCTTTTTTCTGTCATATTAATTTAATGATGCCTCCTCTTCAATACATGAGAGACTGCATAAATATACAGATCTTACTCCCCCATCCCAAATTATGGTGTCTTTTTCTATTTTTATCTGTTTTAAAATAATATAGAAAGATTATATATTTTTAAAAATATCTTTAATTATTTTATTAAAAAAAAAAGCGGGATGTTGAAAACTTTGTTACGAAAGGATTGACATCGTTCAAAATTACTCGCCACATGTTATCTTAATTTGCAAATGTGAGCAATATAGTGGCAATTCATTGATTTAATCCGATATAAAATATAGAGGTGACAAAATTTGACATGATATGTCAATACGATTCAAACACGACACGAGTTAAATGGTTTTGAGTTGACCTTAAAGGGGTTTACTTAATCGTGTCGTGTTTTGTTTGCGTATTATTAATAATTTAAAGAATATAGTTTTTTGTTTTAGTAAGTAGGTCATTAAATATATTACATGTGTAACAAGTTTAATAAACAAATCTAATTAATGTTGAGGATTCTTAACACGAATATTAAACGGGTCGTGTTCAGATTGATTTATTTAGTATAACAGTTTTATATTGCCATGATACTATTATGACCCGCGAACACGAATTCTCCCTACCCAAATAATGTCAACTGTGAGTTGAGATAGCTGAGCAATGACAAAAAAAAAATAATTTAGGAAGATATATTTTAGGGGCAAATATCATTTACCTCCTTGATATTTGTCAATATCACACGTAGACCTCCTCTATATTTTTATTTATCTCCGAGGTTTTGGTTTAAAAAAAAAAAAAAAAATTCTTCCACCTGACCATTTTGTCCTTCTAATTCTTTTATGAGCAAAACAGTAAAAAAGGTAAGTTGGATAATAATACATAGAGGGATTTATGTGGAGTATATATTAACAAACTTTAGGGAAATTAAATAGAATTTACTCTATATTTTAAATATATTTTGGGATACTAATGGCTATCTCAAGATTTATTACATTTTGTAGGTGACCTCCAACACTTATTTTACAGCCCTGAAAAGGTGAGATTCACTTAAATCTCTGGTCTATTTTATATTACATAACCATATATGGCTTCAATGTCTAACCATGAGGATTCTTCAAAAGCGCAAAAAATTCTTTACAAGAAAGATAGAAACAACAGCTTGTCAAATTTCTTTCTTATTCACATTTTCTATTTCCTTCCTACAAAATATGCAATCGGAATCATCATACTGTCATAAAGATTGAAAAATTCCTAATCTGAAAAGTTCCGTTTATAATGTGAATACTTAAACTTTGACATATCAAAAATATATAAATGAATAAATGTAGCCTTAAAACATAGTGTTTAAAAACTTGACATAGAGATTGACCAGTCAAAAAGGCAACGTTGGTAATTTTAAATAAATGAAAGCAATTGTAGAATTTTGGGGGAACTAAAGGCTTTCTCAGTGGTATAAACATTGGAAGTTTGGAACTGTTGCGAATCAACTTTCAACATTATTTCAATACTATCATTTCTTGTTTCAGAGTTGATATTAATACAGAAGTATTCAAATTTTAAATATTACTACAATAAAAATTTACTTTAAAAAATAATACAATGAATCCTTTAGACAAAATGCATAATGTAATAATTACCAAGAAACTAAAATACATGACTAACTTAGACAAAGAAAGTTGAGTTAATCATCATTATAAGACAACAAAACAAGCAAATGATTTCATATTTGAGTGGCAAGATTAGGGACAAAGATATAAGAGTACAATTCTATGAAAAATGGTATAATACCGATTTTGTCCTTATTTTTGGTATTTTAATAAAAGACAAAATTTATAAAAATTAATATAATTGTAAATTCATTAAATAATATCAATTTCTTTCTTTTCCAAACATGATTATTATCTATTTCTTTTCTTTTTCTTCATTATTCAACCAAACAAGTTAACAATATCTTCTCTTTTTCATTTTTTTTCTTTTCTTTTCTATTGTCTCATATATAATGTTATCATTCCTTTTCATTTCTATTCCACCAAACATAACAATACAAGGCACCACCAATTACAAGGTACAATTGTGGGCCGAAGGAGGTCCACGCCGGATTCCATTCTATGTTGCATAATTTACCATCATTTTTTAATTAGGATGTTAATTAAATCAAATGATCAACTTATTGAGCTGTAAATAGTACATTTGAATTGTTAAAACAACATCCGTTATATGCCATTAGTTTTTTACGTCTTCGGTTAATGATGCCTCCTCGTTAATATATTAGTATATGAAACTACATAAATGTCATACTCCATCCCAAAATTATATATCTTTTTCTATATAGTCTAGCTTTTATTTTAAAATTTATGTTTCATTTCAAAAGTTAATAGACAAATATTAATATATATTTTTAATTTTTAAAAATTTATGTTTCATTTCAAAAGTTATTAGACAAAGCTTAATATATTTTTTTAATTTTTCTGCTCCGAGAATATGAACTTTCAAACTTCAAACAAGTAATTTTGGCGATTCACATGCAAACTATGAATTATTATATGCACTCGTCTGGATTGTAAACTTTGTTACATATAATCAACTCAAAAGTTGTCTGTTCCTCGGTAAGTTCATCTCCCAAAAGTTTAAAAGTTGTATTATCCAATTACCCATCTCTCTGTCTCTATCTATGCATCTCTATCTCTATCCTCTTCCTTCTTTCCTTCTTTCCTTTCCACCCGCCTCTCTCTCTCACTTCCCCTTTCCTGTGTGCGTCACCCGCCTCTCTCTCTCTCTCTCTCTCTCTCTCTCTCTCTCTCTCTCTATATATATATATATATATATAAACACATCTATATATCTATCTCTATCTCACTTTCCCCTTCCTCCATTTCTGTCACCCACCTCTATAAAGGGATTGAGGTGGTGAAAATATTTTGAACTGTCCATAATAAAAGGAAGAGATTTATTCCATAATTGGATGAAAAAAATTTAATTTTGGCTAGTATAAGTCTGCTGAATGTTTTTTTATGGGTGGTCGCGTATTCTTCTGCTGATGGGTATATTGATCTAGACATGCTTTCATCAAGAACTTCGACTGGAACCATAGGGGAAAACATACCATAAATAGTGATGATATAATTGAAGATCTGTGAAGAAAATGTACCAAGAAACCTTAAAAATGGAGTTGAGGGATAGGATTGTCTGAAGAAATGATTGAAAATCCTAATTAATTTAGGATTCAATCTTAGGGAGATATCTTGAATTAAAAAAAGGAAAAATGATAATCGGGCAATGGATATTCCAAATTTTTCATGCATAAATATGAAACTTAAAATATCCTTTTGTTCGGAAGGAGTATCATTATTCTAAATACATTTTACAAAATATCCTTAATTTTTCAAAATTTTCCGCTCCAAAAATATAAACTTTCGAACAAGTAATTTTGGAGATTCACATGCAAACAATGCAATAAATAATACATAGGGTTGGAATCCTAAAAAGGGATAAGAATTAGAGATGAAAGAAGTTCAAAACTGACCAATATAAATAGTAGTATAAAGTAAGATTACTTTTAACGATTATGAGAGAAGAAAGGTACAAGCAACCATCTCTCACAATCGTTGTCCAACGAGAAAGCCGAATGATCCTCTCCTTGAATACATTTAGATGAGGAAAAATTATCATCACTAAATGTCTTATATAACCATTGGACAATTTGAACTTACCTGTTGTCTCATAAATTAGAACTCAAAAATATTAACAAACAATATGATTTATTGTCATCTACAGAGAAAATTTCACAACAGACGACGACGACGACTTAGGGAAGTGCCTCACACAGATTTGTTTCAACTAGAATTTCGAGAATTATTTATGTTGACATCCAAACCAATGTCTTAGTTCAAACTAGATTTGAAATATAATGTTAGAAAATAACTTAAAACAAGACACTCATCTCACATCCTTAGAGGTTGAGAGCTCAAAATCCATTAAAACAACCCCAAAAAGAATTCCCAATGCGCGTAAAACAAAGGGACTGCGTGTTCTTGATGATCAATTAAAAAACTGGATTGTAATGACCAGATTGACCATCCAAGAAACAGTGCGTTGACGACAGCAAGGGGTTAATTCTAAGATCTCAAATTTAGCATACTCTGCTGACGGTTGTGCACAATTTTATATTTTCACCAGCATAGAGAAATACCGCAACTATATTCCCTATTTTTTAATACCAGGGAAGTATTGGGTTACATTTTTTACACTGATTTGATAAGATTACTAAAGGACTACCCTCCTTTCCTCAAGTCTTAGTCTGAAACATGCACGAGCCATTGCCATCATAGTCAACCACAAGAACTAAACCCTAAATGATTATAAGAATTTCAACCCAAATAAGAGTGTATAACACGATTTTTGATCTCGTAACGCAATATATTCCTGTTCAATATTTTTCTCCCCTTACCGGGGCTGTATTACTCTTTATCTACAGGAATCAGTTCAAGTTTCGAACCAGGTAGAAACATGCACCTTTCCAGAGATAAAAACATACTATCCCTACCAAGTCATTATTACCAAAATGTTGGGAGACAAAAATTGGGAACTTTAATGTGCCAAGTCCCGCAAGTGATGTACCATTTGCTTATCAAGCAGCAAATTGGAAAAAGTTTTACCACATTACAAGACAAGGATGCCTCTCAAAGATCTTCTAAAGATGACCAAGAGCACAGGTTAGTGAGATTCATGGAGATCACTTGCAATTTTTCCAACTTCCAAGTCTAAATGCAACTTACAATGTTGCATCTCTGAAATATTTCAATTGTCGAGTCTTTCGAAAAAGTACAGGTAACCCATCTCCCTGGGTGGGTTTTTGGAAATACCAACTTTGTCATCGTTGAAAATTACCCACCTGCCATCCTTATAGATGTGAGCGACATAGTGGCCACAGTGGGTTGAGGTACCAATATGGCTCACGAATCCGAGAAACCTGTATCCTGCACAATGACAAATAAAAACAATTTGATTATAACTAGTAGCCAAAACATAAACCATGAAGTAGGAATCCTGGTCCCTTACAATAAGGAACTACACTTTCCTACAATATTTGCTTTTCTCGCATTGCACCTAGGGAGTAAGGTCTAGCAAGATATATTTTACATATAATTTACACAAAGGGCAACTTGGTCAACAAAAGTAACAGATGAAAGCAATTGTAGAATATGATTACTGTATAGGAAAAATACTCAGCTTTAACCACAACTCTAGTTTACCAGTGAAATTCAACCCCAACATCGTCATCACCTTATATTGGAATATACTACTTTTGGGGAAGTAAAAGGCTTTCTTGGTGGTATTAAGCAACTGTTGGAACTGTTATGCGAACCAACAAGAAGTAAACTTCAACATTATTTCAATAATACATCATTTCTTGCTTCAAAGTAGTCAATATTAATACAAAAGTATAAAAAATTTAAAAATTTCTACAATAAATTCTTTCTATAAATAATTTATAAAATAAATCCTTTTTATAAATAATTTATACAATAATTCCTTTTTATAAATAATTTATACAATAAATCCTTTAGATGACAACCACCACCACCAAAGTTTTTTTTCCCAAGTACTTGGGCACAACAAATCCTTTAGACAAAATGCATAATGTAACTGGACCCAGAAAATTGAGTTGATTATCATCATTATAGACAACAAAACAAGCAAATGATATGATATTACAGTGACAAGACAAAGGACAGAAACATAATAGGGATAGAGACATAAAAGTTCAATTCCATTTCAATAATGGTTATAGAATTACTCAAAACGGTTAATATATCCCAAAACCCTTATTCTTCGTTTGGTGGGAGGGGAGGATGAGGGGAAAGATGGAACAAGTGTCCGTTATTAGGTAGGAGGGAGAGATGGCGGAATGAGCCACCCCTCCTAGCCACCATTTTGCTTCCATCCAAAAGTGACGAGGAGAGAGAGAAATAAAAATTTGTTAGATAAATTTGAAAAGATGTCCTTGCCCTCAATTTTAATTACTGATTTATAAAGATATATTAGTAAAATAACAATATCATCTATTTTCTTTCCTTCCATCCAACCAAACAAAAGCAAGGATGAACACTGTCCCTTTCCTAGATATGCCTCATTCATCCATCCCCTCTCCCTTCCATTCATTTTTCTGTCCCCTCCACCAAACGTACCATTATTGTCGAGATTATATATAACATTAAAAGCAGGCAACGCAAGCTGAGAAGAAGCGAATAGGCAAACAACCATTAATATCTATAAATACTCAAGTCAACAAAGGCTAACACTTGCTTCAAGATTTAATAATTATAGTATGAAAAATAAAATGCTAGTATATATTCTCCATTCTACTTAAATACCTCATAGAAGAGAGAGCAACAGCTGTCAGATAAATATGCAAATGACGATGATAAGGATGATCACAGTAGTATTAGCAACAACAGCAGTAGCAAAAGCATTCATCATGTTCACAAACAAAACGACAACAAAAAGGAATAAGAAACTAACTTCCTCCTCCATCAGGTAGTGCTGCATCAACATTTGGTGTGCTGCTTGGTGTAGCATCCATATCAGATGAACCATGGGCACTGGGATTGTTAAATATCCAATCTGTAGCTTTCTCAATATCACCACCCTGTGAAGAATTGGATAATATAAAACAAAGTGTCATTGGAGTTCGAGGATTCTACCAAATAAAGATCTCACAAGCAAACAACCAAATCTCTAAACAAATGAACAGCCATAAAAAAGTTTACCGATGCCTTCAAAGCTTTCCGAGCTATTTCCTCCTCAAAACCAAACGAAATCAATGTATCAACTTTTGACTGATCAACGAATGATTGTCCATCATGGGAGATGGGAGCATCAATATCTGGGGAAAAAAAGCATTCATCGATAACTTCTGCAGTCTAACACAACTGAAACAACCCATGTGGTTTGAGCAAAGCAAGTTTTATTGATATGGTCTTCTACTTGGAATACCTGGATCATCCATGTGAGAAAGTAACCAGTTCATTGCCTCTTCTACTCCAGTATTAGAGCTGTTTATAGCAGCTTTCTGACAATGAAGATAGTTAAATCCCATCGACACAAGCTGAGAAACTATATCCTCGTTGGCCAGGAGCATCTTTGATTCTGCCTCATCCACAGCAACTGGGCAGTGAAAAGATAACAAATTCAGGGAAAACTTGTGAACAATTGTCTATCATGCAAGAATCAAGACATACAAACAATAGATTGCACAAAGAACATTACACATATGATAAATTTTAATGAATTAATTGTAATTCTCAAATAAGATTTCTTTGTTACAGGACAAAGAAGAAGTTTGAAGAAAGGTAATAATGTTATTAACAATTTTTATCCTTCCGTTCCCTCCTCTCTTCCAAGCAATTTTGTAGAGATGAAAAATGGTGAGCCAGGAGAGATGCCTAATCCATCCATCCATCCCTTTCCCTTCCCTTTAGCTCTCTCTTTTACCAAACATTGGATTCTAGCTCCATCACACATATCTTCCATCCCTCCCTCTTCCTTCCTTCCTACCAAACACAATATAAGATCCTACAAAGTATTTTACATGGACTATTCTAAAAGCGTGGAGTACCTAAGCCAAACGCACATTAACAAGGAATGGGTATGTCACTTGTATTCGAGTATATCAAATATATCATTTACTGTATAATTGCGCTCAAAAACTCTTTATTATTTATTTTTTGGTAACATTAATACTTCAGAACAAGTGAAGCATCCATGTTGAATACTATGTTACAACTTACAATCACAGTTTCTACCTACGAAATGAAAGTAATAGAAAATGAAAGAATAACATTATGCGGGCTTCAGCAATTTTGTAAATGTAAAACATGTACCCACATCTGAATCATGCACAAGTCCACGCAACATAGCACAAAAAAGAATCACTTCCCATAATTATGGAAGATTCTACTTCTTAAAAAGGAACCAACTGGCTTATGCTAAAAAATTAAAAAAAGTTATATTTGGAGTTTCATGAGTTCATTTCAAGTATCTACTCCTTGGCAAAAGAAGCAGTATAAGAAGTGTAAGAAAGAAATATGTGTCGATTATAGAATGTAATTTAAATTTACCCAATTGCTCAAGCTACTGTACTGTTGCCTCGGCTGAATAAGAGGAGAAGATGGGAGGAAAAAGAGGGGGACTGAAGAAAATAACAGAACCAGGGGCAGGTTTAACTTCAAAGCAACTATTTATGTTGCTAAACATCATCATTTTTTCTTTATAAGAATCATCATCATCATCTTTGCCTTTGCCTTTATCCTGTATGAATTGGTCGGCCAATCTCAGTTGCTAAACATGTAAACCCAAAATTTGTAACCCTAAGGTCATTCCTAACATGTAAACCTTCTCCCTAAACATGTTATACTCTCCAAAAGGTTACCATCCAGCACCTAAATTTCCAGCAACCAAGCACCTCCAAACCCTCACCAATTCCAACCTCTTGCTTTCCACAAAGCCCACAAGGCCACAAGTAATTTGCACCTTATTCAAATCCCTATCCATGTGTTTTCAATATCCCAATCACACCAAATAATATTCATAGAGAGCACTATTTTCATTTTTCTTTTACAGTGATCTAGGAAGCACAAATACTTCTATAATAAGGGTGATGTACCTTCCAGTGTCCGTGACAGATACCAACACTCTCAAATACTCACGGATGTGTCAACTGTTCAATATTTTCTAAACATATGCCCTTAAGTTTAAAATAATTTTTTGTTTCTAACACGTGACTGACTACTTCTCAGATACTTCAAAAATCATTTTAATAAGCTTTGGATATTAAAAGTTGTTAGTATATTTCTTCAAAAAAGTTCAAATTTTCTTTAAAAAAGAAGATAATAATATATATGACATAAACAATTAACTATTTAAAGGAAAATTACACTAGCCTCCCCTGTCAATAGGCTAAATTTCACGGACCTGCCCTTAGTGTTGTCAGATAACATGGTTAAGGGAATTGGTGAAACGACAATTATACCCATGCACTTTTATTGTTATTTTATTTTAAAATCCTATTGTGTATAAAGACACAAATACCACTTTCATTGCTTACATGCTCTGACAACCTTTTTTTGTAGATAATTGCCACGTGCTACGTGTGAAATGGCGATTAAGCATTGCTCATTCAAACCCAAGACTGAGCTACACCATGGCCACACCCAAATAGGAAACGATTTAGCTAATTTACAAATTAAAGTAAAACTCTAATCCACAATTCTCGTTCCCTTCCTTCACTTCCCACATACAAATCACCCAAACCTGTCATTCTTCCATCATCATTTTTGCTCCATCTAGGGTTTCCATAATCAATACACATTCATAGTGTCCGTATATGATGTTTGTATTCCTTCCATGGTGAAAAGAATCATCGACCCATCAGTCTTCCATCACAATTTATGCTCCATCTAGGGTTCTCATCGAAGCCTTTGTTTGATCAAAAGGCCTTGTTCAATTGAAAGCACTCATAGGAATTACACATCGAGACCCATAAGGCCAGGTTGTCTTCCCAACCCGTGAATCAAACAATTATCTCCCATACTGACGGTCATGTTTCTTCAATGCACCCATGTCGTGTTGGACATTGAGAAGACCGTCGAAGGAGCTCCAGTAGACGATCTCGTCAAGCAAGAATGACTTGGTTGAGTTAGGATCAGCGTTGAAGGGGACGTACTCGGCAAAGAAGTCGTAGTGGTTGTTGTTGGAGTTGTGGCTGTGAGCTTAGTCTTAGATGTTCTCATCAGGGGGGTGGCAATGATTGATGAGTGGTTGTAGAGGTGGTGGCAAGGTGGAAGCTGTGGGGCAGTAATCAGGTGAGGCGAAGGCTCTGATGGGGAAGTAATGGTGGGTGATTCTAAGGCTTCAGTGGGTGGGTTTGGGTTAGGAGCAAAGAGAGAAGGGGGAGGAATGGAAGAGAGAAGAGACCACCATTGTAGAGAGAGTGAGTGTCTCAAGGGTGTGCTTGGGGAGAGAAGACAATAGTGAGTCTTAACAGATTCACCCCTTGGGTTAATACAGTGGTAACATGTGATGTGAGAATAGTTTATATAGATTGAACAAAAAGTGCAATTTTGTCCACTTAGATTGTACCAATGGGGGCATTATTGCCATTTAACCTTACTAGATGAGGCTAATAATGTCTTTTGAGACATCTTAAGGTCAAATTTGGGTTTTAGATTTTTACTACCCATGACATCATCAACGCCACCAGTGTCTGTTCTGACAGGGGAGGTCAGTGATACAAAGCCATCACTGACGGGGAGGTCAGTGTTATTTTTGAAAACTAAGGGGAGGTCCCTGTAATTTAGCCTATCAATAGAGTCGGGAGGTCAATGTAATTTTCCCTTAATAAAGCTGTATCTACATGTGGATACGTAACTTTATTAAGGGAAAATTACATTGACCATACATATCTACATTTTATAATATAGATTGTTGTTTCCATATCCTATTGTACAAGAATCTTCGTTTCCATACCCTATTTAATACCAATCAATTTATAGTATCGCCATATTCATACCATGTCATGTCCGTGCCAATCTTCATAGATAGTGATTTATACATCAACTTTAGCAGCAAGCTTTGTAGGAGTGCTCATGCACTGAAACTAATAAAACTGATTAGAACTAATCGACATAATGTGCAGAAAGTAGCTACACCATACTCGAATCAATGTTCTCACTCTTGGCATTTCAAAGTTTAACCACTTCCCAAGAATTTCATAGGGTATAAATTACAAATGAGATAGCACATGTAAAACTAAGTACACTTAACGATTGGCTCAAGTTGCCAATTTTTTGTGTTACAGTTGGAAACCATAACCTGAGTGCATATCACCTGTGGGAATATATTAAACATCTGCAGGTTGTAGTCATATAATAGTGCCCAGTAACAAAACACAGTTTTCGTTACATATAATCAAAAGAAAAAAACTAATCAAACTAAATGAGGAATTAAACAAATTATCACATACCAGCTTCTGGTAATAGCTCTTCCCCAGGCTGAAGACCTTTGCTGCGCATGCCACTTATGTCTATGATATCAGGAACATCTATGTAGACATCTAAATAGCCAAAAGGAAAGATCAATGGAATATCATCACACCATTCATGTAAATTTGCTTTGCAAGACATCAAATGAAGCAAAAATAAATAAATACCAAGCTTTTTCGGCACCCAGCCTTCCTCCATGACAAATTTCCTCATGTGCAACACCAGATAATCAGGAAATGAAGTCAAACCAGCAGTTCTGTGGAGAATTAGATAAAACATTATTTAAAAAAAAAAAAAAGAAAAGAAAGGGTTTATTTCTAATTCCATCAATATAAATATTCTGGAGAAAAAAAATTCCATCAATATAAGCCAATGTAACATCAGCAAATGCGAGTTGTTCCAATTTCTGGTTAATCTGATAAATATACTAGTTTCAGCAAATGTAAGTTGCTCCATTTTCTAGTCAATCAGACCTAGTTTATTAATTTCAAGTTCCGTAGATACAAAACAAGAGAACACTTATTTCTCCATATATGTTAGTTGCTTGTACCTGTTCAATTTGGTGTGATTTTCTCCAATTTTTTTATCAGATTTATAACCTCAATAACAGCCTAACAGATTATTGCCAATTTAAGTGCATACGATAATACTTGCAAGCCCATCTAGGGAAATGAGAATCACAGGTCCACATTCATGACTCAAAAAAAAAAAAAAAAAAAAGGTCAGTTATTTAAGAAAGATCAGAAAGCATACTTGACTGCTGTTGTTTTGGCCTGCAAGGCAGTGCTGTAAAAATCATGCACCTCCTCCGGAGCTGAAAAGGTGGCTAGGCAGTCGTATAAATGCACCTTTGGACGTACAATTTGATCGGTAGACCTGCTAGAAGTAGACATGCTTAGCAACAAAAGTATGAAAATGAATCAAAACATGAAAGACATTCATGCTCACGTGTCCTTCTTATCTGAATCTTTTTCCACCTTCAACTTGTTAAACGCTTCTAGATCCTCTGAATTTTCAATCCATGCCATTAGCAGAAAGTAAAGATGAATAATTCAGAAGAAGAAAATTATGAATAATTCAGGAAAAAAAAAGTTTTAGAAGCTTACCCTTGTTAACAGCTTTATGCAGTGGGATATTTAGAGATAGAATATAGTCGTGTCTACTATTGTAAGCAACTTTTCCAGATGGACATGAAAGCCTCTCTTCAATACCAAATTTGAAACTCCTCGAAGGATCCAGTTCATGGTTTCCAGTATTGGCTCGTTCAACTTGGTCAATGAAATGCAGGAAAAATTCTAAGGCATCCTAAACATAAATCAGAGTCGATCATTTATACAAGCAAATAACAATAATAACAAGAAGAAGAAAATTGTGGAAAACATATAGGTTCTCAAGGGCAACAGAAGTGTCGGCCATGTGGCCCATCAGTTTGTACACAATGGTTCGCCCCAGAATTAGTATTGATAAAACAACACCACCCAACAAAACAATAAGCACCCAAATAGATGCCAACATGTGTTGTCAGCCTTTTTGAGCACTCTGTTTTACATATTGCCCATTCCAATGAACCATTGATGCAACCTGCGCTTCACTTATCGAAGGGAAAAAAAAATGATGCATCCTATGTTTCATCGAATATGGAATGCTTGTAAGGTAAAGGTCTGTGTCTAGGCAACAAAATAAATCTGACGACAGAAGTACAGTGAATATCCTTATCTCTAACATTCTTATTTTATTCTCTAGGATAGAGTGGCATTTTAATGTAAAATGAAGTGTTTAATGGGACTTCACATATTTTGTAGAAACCATGTGACTGAAAAATAATACATGAGTTTATGGACATTATATAGAATAGACGAATTACCCTTATGAGCATGGGAAGTTGCATGGTAATAAACATGATTATTTCATATCTAACCATCAAATAAACAACAATGGTGAGGATTGCATACAATCAAAGCAATCCAATAGAACAAAAAACTTGATGAGAGAACCATCAGTCATCTAATAACATCCACAAAGAAGAATTCTTAAGCAGGAAAGAATAATTGTTATTTTCTCCTATATATATATATATATATATATATTACCTTGGCAAGAAACTCAGTCACACACCTACTTTAACCCCCAAGGGGACTTGAGCCTTCGACCTTAAAAGTACATTAACATTCTTCTCTAAAGTAACTTCAAGCATAACATCTCTTTTATCAAAAGACATCTTCTATATTAAAGACAACATACAGTTTGCATCATTTTGAAGTAACAAACCAGCAGCTCCTTGTCAAAATTAACTCAACATACCTGTTGCCTCATAGTAGAAAATTCAGGATGACTAGCAGCGATGACTGCCTTGAACATACGAGGTGGTATGCCCTCCTGTTTCTGGAAGTTGAAGGAAACATAGAATAAATGGGAGGGGGAAAAGAAGTTTAAAATATGATCATCAAAGAATACAAAGGAAACACATAAACAACCGACAGACTTGCAGTACTTTCTGTCAAAAAAATATTAAATACAAAGCAGTTAATCAAACAATTATATGAAAACAAACATATGGCATACACAATAACAAAAGGAGGTTAAGGACACAATCGTTAGAATAAATGATTTGAAGGAAATCGAAAGATAAAGCATAGCTAAGTAATGACAGAAACTACAGCCAAATATTACTCCCTCCATCGCAATTTATTAGAACTTTTTTCTTTTTTTCCCTTTTTTCTGGCTGTCCCAATATACTAGTCCGATTTGAGAAGTCAAAGTGAGACAAATGCATTTTTCCATAAATATCCTTCAAGTTTTTAAAATTTTCTCATCTTGATAATATATATTTAAACTTCAAAGGGTAACATAGGAATTTTAAAAAAGATTGATGCATTAAATGCATGTCCCCTTAAAGTGTTATAAAACCAAAAAGGGACAACTAAATTGGGACGGAGGGAATATCACAGTTAACCAAAGTCAGTGAATTTTTTATAGAGCCGAACTTGAATAAATCAAATCAAAAAAATTCATGGAAAAATTTAATGGACCATCTAACAATTATCACTATAATCAAAGCCAGGTGGCAATTTTTACAGAGTCAGACTTGAATTAAATCAAATCACAAAATTCGTAGAAAAGTTTCATGGTGAAATTCAAAATAGACTCAGCAAGTGGGGCAAGTGAGAAAAAGGTCTGGCTAGAAAGCTTACAGCAATTGGAGTCGAGGTTACTGCACCAGCATTATCATCTTTCTAGATGACAAACAAATACACAACGTCATGCAACATCGTGCAGAAATGAATAACATAAAAGATGCCTGAATTTGTGCATTACATATACCTCCAATGCCGGAACTGAATATTTACCAGACAGCAACCCGTGGGCCAATTTTGTTCTGCCATACAACAGAACATGTTACAAATTTCTGACTCGCAAAAAAATAATCCACACCAATTAATTACTGATGACATTTACACAGCTGGATACCTAGCAATGTAAAAGTCCCAAAAAAAATTTGATCAAGGCATCCCACTGCCTACAAATAAAGAGTGCAATGGCATTGCTCGCAATTTAAGCAAGGTGCCTTTGAAAGATAAATCTACTGTTTTAGATTGACATGTATGGCCTCAATAGCTAAATGATGTTGTTAATATAGAATGTAACTCTATTTTTACTTATTAATGATATATGCCTTCAGTTAAAAAGAGAGAGAGATACAGACAGTTCAGTCAAGGAGGTAAAAAAAAATCATATAGAACCGATGACTAATTACTTACAACTGCATATTCAGGTCTACAGTTGGATCAGCAGGTGCAGTCTCAAATGCCATTTTCAAACTTTGATTCATATGGTATCTGATGAAATATCACAATGGATGAAAAAATTCAAAATAAGAAACAGAAAGAATACAAACCAACCTAAGTAAATACATGCCAAAACTCGATGGTTAAATAAATACGCATCAAAAAGAAATACGTCACTAACCGTGAACAGAAAGAACGTGTTGAGAACACAACTTGCATAGTTGCAGCCAAGTAGCAACTGAAAGGAAACAGAATGAGAAGGGGAAAGAACATATTACTGCCTTATTTCCATCACTCTTCAAAGACCATTCTTTTTTGATAAGTCACTCTTCAAAGACCATTCTTACCTATTTCCTAGATTGACAAGTCCAGTGTAACCCGGTCCAAATAATGGTTCCACTTCCTGTCCACTTTCTTGAATTCGATTCCAATCAAAATTGGTGTTCTGGTCAAGTTCCCTCTCAGCGGTTGTCATTTCAGTCTGAAAATGTTTGTCAGTAAAATAAAATAAACGTCTGTCAGTAAATAAATAAATAAAAAGATGTTGATTTCAAATTAATATAGAGTAAGATAAAACAAAATGCATAACAATATTGAAGAAACTACTACTTAACATTAGAAAATACCAACTTTCCCAAGGGCCAAAGTACATATTTGAAAGAAAATGAAAAGAAGCCGGCTGAGAATACAAAAAGGACATAACCAACAACGAAGTAGGTAGAGAACAATTAAAGCCTTAAAATCAAGTGAAGGATATAGATAGTCAAGATAAAACAAGGACAAGAATTCATACAGCAAACACGAAACTGATTATGGGTTGGTTGGTTTAAATTCAGATCAAATAAAGTTGAACCTAAAGCAAGCCCTGCCTGCATGTAACCATTTATGAGGTCCAACCAACATAGTTTATCAAAAGACATGCTAGAAGACAACAATAGAATTATAGTAGTAAGAAATTGATACTTGGAGACACCTCAAGAGTGACCATATTTGTCACCTCAGACCAATACTTCCATATAGGAATGGGATTGACAAAATAACACAATCAAAATTAAAATGAAATGGTAGAAATGCAAAAATGCATTGAGGTGGTGTTAAAAAGGACAAATTCCTGTCAAGTGAAGGGGAAAAAATTATATGATGGCTGTAAAATCAATCACACCCTTAGGAGCAACAGTAGTAATCAAGAAGAATGTCCATGTCATGACAATACAACGCAGTTGAAATCTTTTTTTTTCTTCGTTGGTACTCACACACATGCCTCCACTGAGGCTCGAACCCCTGACTACCCTTTGGGAAGTAGGGGCCTGGTACCGCTAGGCCACGAGAGGTTGAAATCTTTATATCTACAAGTGGCAACATATTGGTTGGTCGTGTGAGATGAAGACTAACAACTGCATTTATAGGAAGCATAGTCTTTTCAAGTTGAAGGTCACACTAAAAGGCAAAGAGAAAGCCAAAAAAAGGAGTTGCAAGGGCTATAAAATATATAACGACACAAAAACACATTAATTAAGCCCCCAAAAAAAAAAAAATAGAAGCCCTAGGAAGTGTTCAGTAGCAAAAAAAAAATTTAGTTTTAGGGTAAGCCCATATAGCTGCTGATTTACCAAAGGCTGTGTAGCCTAGTGGTACTTTCTCACCTTGCAAAGTAGTAAGTTGAGGGTTCAAGTCTTCATAGGAGCAAAAAGTGGGTGTGTGCATGAGTTTCTTGCCTCAAAAAAAAACATATACATATACATATACATATATATATATATAGCAGCTGATTTAAGCCGAGTGTAGATTTCATACAATGAGTTATTATTTAATTAAAATAAAAAATAAATAAAAGAAAGAAAGAAAATCATATGATGAGTGCTCTAATGGACCCATCTGATATTTGAAACTTCTTTACATCATTTATACACTTCTTATTCCAAAAATAAAAATAAAAAAGGTTTAACTGAACTATTGACCGGTTATGGCAACGTCGCCTATTTAACATTGTTGTCTTACCATCCAGGGGAGAATGTTGATGTCCAATCTTTTATATTCATGTGGTTGTGTTTTAGAAAGCCCCTCCATGATCCAAAAATGTTTAGTTATTATATCAATTTCCAAGAATTTTTTAACTAAGCTCTACGCTTTGGAAAATTTTGTAATTTTCTCCGCAACTGAAATTTGGTCTCAAAAAAATAAAACCAAACATGCAGATAGTATATATTCCTTTTAAAGTAATATCTAATAACAAACCAAAAAATTCAAAGCCAATATAACAGCAGCAATATAAAGCAAAGCTTTTTTCACAACTATTTGTTGTCGCCTAAATGAACCCTATTTTTCCATTTTACTCTATCTAAGGCCACAGTCTAAGTCAGACCACCTGCTATCATATCTTTCCATACTAACTTTGCACCTGTTAATGCTAAACTTCCCCTACCCTTAGCATTACCAGTGTGGACAATGTCACTATTCCTAATTGGTGCACATAATGTTTTTTCTTTTCTTTTTCCTTTTTTTTTTTTTTTGCACATGTCCAATGAATTTCAAATATCACAAAATGCACCAAAATGGAAAACAAACAAGAATAAAACAAAGACAGTAACAAAATTAAATATTTTTCCCTCAAGATCTAAAAGTTATGCTAAAGCTTAAAATTCTGGTTTCCAGAAGAAGATAAGAAAGCATTATCTGATAACACTTGCCGTTTTAAACAAGTAAATTCAGAACACTTACCTTGAAAAACTTTTTCAACTGTTTACTTATCCAAAAAAAAAAAAACTTTTTCAACTGTTCAAAGTTTCACATTAAGGAAATAAAAAGCAAAATTAGTAACTTGATGCTTGCCCTGCCTAAACAGTCCCAGGAGAGAAAGCTGGAGGCAAACCTTTAATTATATTTTTATTTTTTTGCAAAGCTGGAGACAAACCTTTGATGTTGTCATGTTTGTCAGCTAAAGCTTTAACCAATGTGCCAAGCTCAAGAACAATATATTCTCAAACAAATCATGCACAAGTATGCCATGAGCAATATGAATTCAGTTTTTTTTTTTTTTTTTTTTTTTTTACCTTCGCAAGAAACTCACACACCCACTTTGCCCCTATGAAACTTGAACACTCAACCTTCTACTTTGGAAGATGAGGAAGTACCACTAGGCTACAACCCTTGTACCTATGAAATGAGTTAGTTGAGTGACCAAGATAGAAGACATAATAGAGCCATCTCTTTTTATTACGAATAAATGAAGCAACTTTTATTTTTTTCAAATTTAGCAAAAGGGAGAAACAGATTTTCCATTCAAAAAGGTAACCTAGTAATAAGATTGAGTGTACAACTGGAGCTTCTCTTTCCTTCTTGAGTCTCTTGCACATTTGGTTACATCAAAATATATGAAAGATCATATTGTCCACACACGTTGATAGCAAATTGCAATGTCTAAACAATACTTGAGCCATATATACAAATCAAAATATATAACTTACCTTCTGTAATGACGAAAAATCAATACCAAAAAATGCCAGATGTTGCGCTAAAAGAGGATCCAAAACACCTTCGTCCTCCGGATAAGAAAAAACATCTGAGCTGCCACAAGTTTTTAACTCATGATAATGTTTGAATTAGGGTGAAGTAATGCAATCAAAGAAAAAAAACTCAAGTTCCAGACAATTGAATGTTTGAAGAAACAACATTAAATTCCATGTTAAGAATACTTTATTATAGCTAACAAAGCACCTTCTATTAAGGAACGTGTCTGTTTAGGAACACGAGACCACCAATGTAGAAAAAGATTGGAGCCAGTACACTTTCTCATTGGAGAGAGATGAGAAGCTTTTGTAAGAGATGCCATTCAATTTCACAACAGAGTCATTTTTCAACTATTTCGATCTTTCGTACAAGATATAAAGGCAATACATTATCATGCATTAACAATATCAAAACAATCAGGTTATATTCAGGTTATAAGCACGGAACAGCATGGCAGGCATGACAACTCTACTAATATTCAAGCTCAATATCATGTTTCAAATTGCTTTCTTTAGCCTTCATGCCAATTTCTACACGATGCCGAAGATCCAATTTTGGTATTTAGCTTTAATTGGAAAACCTTTTTTTTTTTTTTTTTCTAAACTTCTGTTTAGAGAGTAGGGTTCTTCGATAGAAAAGGTGAGACACGTAAGATTGGAAACCCCAATGAGCTGGATTCAGATAAGGGTGGGACCACCTCAACTACCCACCAATCTATCATCTCCGGAACTCCTGAGCCCTTCCCACGCTTATGTGGGTTCAGGAAAGCAAGGCACCACTTTAGGTTCTCAGGCCACTAATTTAGGCATGCTTCTATCAAGTATCATCAAGGAGCTTGAAAAGAAAAAAAGACTCATTTTTTTCATCCGTGCGAGAATTGGACCAGCCCGTGAAAAGGATGGAACCATTGGGCAATAACTTGAAAGCAAATAAAACTTGCGGTCTTAAAACGACGTATGCCATTGGGCAATACAACCTGAAAGCAAGTGTTCCAGTGCATAGCAAAGATCGTTAAATAATTTTCTAGTATTGGCAACTTCAACATGTAGTACTATGCGATTGGATCTAATTTACTCACGAAATGAGTCTCCTTATCTCAATTTTGTAACATATACCATAACCCAAAATGGTATTTCTTTCCACCGAATGGCTACATGAACACCATCAACAAATCGTTTAATATACTGTTGCACATTTCCTAGTTGGTCGACACAATTCTCATCCATCGAGTTAGCTAAAAGGAACTGGTAATTCCTCCAATGACTTTGCCCTGGGTCTCTTATTTTTGTTCACCGACCTCCATAATCTGAAATGCAAAATGATGAGTTATCACGTTGCAGTGTAATACTCTCCTACCACATAGCTTGAAAAGCTCTCCACAAAGACAAGGCAATCATCTAACTAGGAAAACATTATCAAGTCCACATATAGTCCACATCTAGCGGTCACTAAATACTCACTTTTCCCTGTATGTTCCAAATGAAAAGATCATGAGACACTGCAACCACAGAAACTACGCCCTCATGTTTCTATTCTTCTGAAAATAACACAACTCAAAGCTTTGTATCCTATATGTGATGATTCAGAAGTTCTTCTGATTTTTAATCTCCAATAATATTCTTCTGTAACTCATGATTCAAAGGTTTAATCAGTATGGAGCATAATCATCCCTAAGGTACCAACGATAAAAGAGCATTTTCATTAGTACCCCTTTTTTTGTTGGGTTCTAGGGAGAAATTGTAAATCCATGGAAGAGATTGTTAATATTTTGTACTCTTCGAGAGTTTAGAGGCCCTATTTGGCCTTGTGTAGCTTTTGAGGGATGTGTTCCCCTTTTGAACGCCTTTTCTAATGCATATATTACATATCCAAAAAAATTAATAATCCTTTTGCGACCAATGAAGTATGGACATGGATATGGGATATGGATACCGATATGGTGATAAGACAAATTCTTAAAACATAGAATAGATACAACATAGACACAGCAATATATATGTATATAGATTATTATATTTAAATTTGTATAGAAATTAAGATATATGTGTATTCACAATAAATTCAAATAATAATTGTTTGTTATTTTATATATATTAGTAGTAGCATCCTATTAGAAAAGAAATGATGACAACTAAGCTAAGAGTTATGTTGTAGGGCATGCTTTGGACTAAATTATCTATGATATATATCAATTATACTTTAAAAAATATAAATATAAACAAATATTTGGAACCCTTATAGTCTTTCTAATAATTACATTATGAAATTACGCTTAGGAAATATATATTTTAATGTTCAGGGCCACGTGTGCTATGAAAAACCTGAAAACTATTGGATATTTGGCCAAGTATATGAGAAGTATCAAATATGGGTTCAATATAAAAAATATATTTATTCAAATTATGAGAATGGATAGAGTAGTAACAAAAGCGTACCCACAAGTATCCAAGTAATATCAGTAAAACGGTACAGAAACATCTCCCTTCTGTGCTTAATAGCCTTCATAGTAATGTACATCTAATCTTTCAATTCTCATAAAAATTTCTTGACCCTATGCTTTGTCCCTTTTCTTATGTATATTAGATAGAGAAAAAACAAGTACAGCCAGTCAAAGATACTGAATATTAAAGCAACTATAGATACTTATCAAAAAAATTAAAGCAACTATAGATAATTGTGATGTTAAGCAATAACTATTCACAGTCAATCATGAAATAAACATCCTGGCTAAGACCTTGACATGCCCATGCAAAAATGCATATTATCAGTAAAGTACATGACTTAACAAGTGCTAGCAAATGCACAGTAAAGTACATGACTTAACAAGTACTAGCAAATGCACAGTAAAGGACATGACTTAAAAAGTACTAGGAAATGCAAGAGCAGTGATATCAGGAATCAATTTCTTCTTTACAGCAGAGCCGTGGCATTACCTGCTCCATCCAGATCAGCGGTTATTGTCCCAAGCTTTACAGCAAGAGGATAGGCAGTTTCGTTGTAATGTTCGATGGCATGGTTGTTGCCACCACTTCCATCCCAATTTCTCCTACCACAGAGGATCATCCCATCCGTCAAATTTAACCAGAGATTTTCAGTCTTATCACACTTGGAACATTTCCACCCAGATGGAGGAATGGTAACACCATTGTCAATCTGTTGCAGATTCATAGCATATGAACTAATATGTTTCTTATCAGCTGTCCAGAAAGCAAGTTGCTCTTTCCGCTCTGCACCCTCAGTCATTAAAATAGTATCAACTGCCAGCCTTACCTGCAGATTTGAATAAAAGTGTCATCCATATTAACAACCAAATTCTGGCTTAATTAAGGTTTCTTCTGTTTTTTTTTTTTAAAAAAAAAAAGGCTCATCCAAAGCATGAGGCTCCCTCCATTGTCTAGGGAGGGTCAGATGTGCGCAGGCACCTCTGAATGTAGAGGATGTTTCCGGTTTCGAACCCGGGACCTCCAGATCACAATGGAGCAACATTATAGTATCGCCAAGGCCCATTGAAGGAAACAGAAAAAGAAAAGAAAAAAATTACCTTCTCTGGCAACTCTACTGAAGGAAACGGAAGAGTAACATAATTGGGCAACATAACTATATTGTGCTTTTCTTCGTATTCAGGTTCCTGGTTGTCAAAACCTCCATCAACCCCTGCAAATAAATATGGTAGTTTAACAGTTTAACCAAATTGCTTGTTAGTAACAAAAGAAATAAATAAAAATTCACTATTTTTCAAATAACAACCATAATTTCACTCCACAAGCATTTAATTACTAACTTAGAGGGAAATATTAACATTTGTACTGTATATCTCTATACAACCATAGAAATATTAATTTTGGTACTGTATATATCCATACAACCATACCAAATGCCCCACACACACAGAAATTTACAATAAAAAATTAGAATGAGTGCAATTGGACATCCCAAAAAATGAAAAATGTAGAAATTTAAAATATATGGGAAAAAAAAAAAATAATAAACAAATAATTTGAGAAGTATGGATTTGATTGATGTTTTAAATCTAAAATAATTATTATTTAATTGTCAAAAAAATTAAATATAATTATTTCCGTAGATAAACATATAGTGTAAAGCAACGCAAAATCAACTCATTGGAAACCCTGTGTAAAATAAAATGGGCTAACCAGTGTTGGGAGAAGAGGTTCTCTTGAAATGATAGATAGTGAAATGTTGCATTCCTTCTAAGGCTCCTTGACATCTTTGTGTGTGTTTCTAGTACTCAACATACAATTGGAACTTTTTTCTTTTAAGCATTCGACATAATTGTACAAATGTGTTCACATTTCATAAACACCTCTAATACAAGTCTCAATGATGACAAACTACACTCTATCATCCACTAAACACTCCAAACTCTTCTTGTGAATTGTGGGTATCCTACATCTAGCATAGCAGCTGAAAATAACCATAAGGAAATTGAACATTTAAAAAACCAAAGTTTACATTGACAAGATTGAAAGTAAAGTACCACAAGTTCAACCAAAACAGAAACTTATACTATGAAAGCAAATATACCTATAGCCAAAAGGGTTGGTTTCTTCAATGGTCTATCTTCTGGTTCAGGCTTCCTTGTCTGTTTTATATGCAAATAAACTGGGTTTCCAGTCTTTTCAAAGTTCCAATCCACGCAATCCTCCCCAAAGGCAAGAAACGTATTCATATCGACAAACAATCCACCTTCAGATTTCTGGGAGCACCACATCAGCACCATCAGAAAACATTAACATCACAATACATATGCTTTAAAATTTGTTTGTTTGGTTGTCAAGAGCATTAAGTAAAAAGGAATGGCAGCTCATTAGCATACAAAAGAGGGGCATGGTTAAGGATTCTATTCTTAAATATGGCATGTAAATTTTATTATTTAAACAAAAATGGAGTGTCAGCAAAAGGAAGCTCCAAAGGTGAATAGGGAAAAAAATCTAGCATCGGAAGGGGCACAACAGCCTAGAAAAAATATATAAATTAAACTGTTACATCCCAGTATAAGAAACAACAAACACGTCCTTCTGGGGGAGCAACTGAAGCTTGAGGCCCTTCTTAAGTTCTTATAACCCATTTGTGGTCCTTTTTAGAGTTTGGAGTCCGATCCAAGGAAACAGTTAGTAAATTTTGTTGTTCTAAAAAAACAAAAAATATGGACTCGTCTAAGCTAAGCACTAAAACAAATTCCCTAATTTATTCACCATCATCCCGGCAACTATAACAAAGATATACATATCTAACACCATCGGAAGATAAAACCTGCGCGAAATACCGAACTCTAAATTCGTAAACATAAACCCTAATTTGGTTCTGGAAAAAAATAAGAATAAGAGGAAAACAAAATTCCACATGAAGCTTGTAACAATGAGGAAATGAAAAATAGCATGAACTTATTTGTTTTACTTGGATAAACGTAGAAGCGAAAATAACAGTAGTTGAATCACAAATTTTCACATGCTTTCCAAGCAACCAAACAGATACCAAAGAAAATAAAAAGTTACCGGAGTATCGAATGAAATGCAGCATTCTTGTTTGTAAATGCGATTGGTGGGTTCTGGAATCCGAACCCGATGAAGGTTGGATCGTAGAAGTTCCATTGCGATTTGAACTCAATCTGAAAATCGAAATGTTCCGGAAAGGAGAGAGTGAAGATAATCGAAGAAGAAAGCAGAGGGATTGCTGTAGAAGTAGCGTGAGCGTGTAATGTATAGTTGCAAGTAAATGTTCTTTGCCCTAAACTTTAGCAAGTCACCTTGCGCCGAAAGCTGTGTGTAACACGTCTTCTGTGCTTTCCTAAAGAGACCTCCCTTAAATTTTTTTTTTTTTTTTTTTTTTTTTTGTTGAGGATCAACAATGCTGGCCTCCTCCTCCTTTTTTTTCCTCTCTCTCTCTCTCACTCTCTCTTTTATTTGATTCCATCCATTTTAACTCCTAAACATAGGAAAAGTGAAATTTCAATTCAAAATTAAATGAATAGTAGTATAAAATTAACTCATAATTATATACTAAGGATTACTTTACTTGTGTGTTGTTTCGATGTATTTTTAAATAAAATATATACTTTTTTTAAAGAGGTTTAAGTTGAGGTTGAGGTCGAGTCCATTAGACGAGACGTGTAAAATAACTTGTTAAAAATTAATAAGTAAGTTACATTTGTTAAATATTAATTTTCTTTTTTTAGTAAATATTTTACGACGACCAAACATCAAAAAATAAAAAATATTTTACACCTAACAAACGTAGCCTAAATAAGAATGTAAAGTTCCATAGTAAGATTTCTTTGGACTTATAAAACTACTTATAAAAGTAATTCAACAAAAACTTACATATTAATTTGAAATGGTTCAAAAATGAAAAGCAAAACAACTATTTTGGGACAAAACAATACGAGTTGAGTTCAACAAAATTTACCTAGGAAACATGCCGGATACGTTTCTAACACTTTATATGTGTGTCCATAAATAAAAATTAATTTTAATATTTTGGACACTTCGCCAACACTTCTCGAACATTCCTAACACAAGTCTACTCACTAATATTGAAAATAATACGAATATTATCATTACAAAGTAATAAAATATTGGTATATATTATATAAAAATCATTACAATTGTGACATAATTTAATTTTCTAATTCATTTCGAAGCAACTCTAAGTATAAAAATTATAAATGAATTAAAGTTGAATAGATTATAAAAATAAATATTTATATTTATATGTAGCCATGTCCACGTCATACTCGTGTCCTATTTTTTAAAAATTCGATGCGTCGATGTATCTGTGTCATATTGTGCCCGTATCCGTGCTACATAAAAATTGACCCTTTATTAATTTGAAAAAGTTTTAAGAAAAAAAATTTTAAAAAATAGGACCAATAATACCGAATATAGTTACTTATCAGATAAAAAATAATAATAATACCAAGTACAGTTGAGTAAAGTTTAGAGCGATAACATGAGGAACAATGTTTGCCTCAGGCCGTATAAATAGGAATTGCCTACTTATGCGGATATGGACCACTAATAACACTGCAAGTGCCAAAAAAAAAAAAAATTATAAAATAAAAAGTAATCAGTCGGGTCTTCTTACGGGTGATCCAAAAATAATCGATTCAAGTTGTAACAACCGTAATTTTTTTTTTAAAGATTCGTGTTTTATATATATATATATATATATATATAAGGAGATAAAGCTACGAAATGAGGTAGGTTATTTGACTAGCTTATTTGACGGAAATAACGCTATCATTCAGTTTAGTTTGTTTTTTTAAAAGAGTCCTTATGGAACTCAACTGCTAGTTATATATCTAAGCTTAGTTGTGTATTCAGTTTAGTTTTTTTTACGTACGTTGCTATCCCCGATGATTTTTACACATTTGTTGTTGGGAAGCGAGAAAAAGCTCAAATGGTGATTACAATTCAGGAAAGTTAATTCTTGCTTATATCTTGTATATTTTTTTTTTTTATGTGATTGATAGTAAGATGATTATCTATGAATTAATTATAAACTCGTGATCGTGGGTATACTTATTCTGGGATTTTAATCTTGTACATAAGGTAAATGTACAATAATGGGTTGATCCATGAAAGTAGCATGTATTGATTAAATTATAAATTGTTATTTAGAGTTTTTAGTACCGATTGACATATACATGAGTACGTTAGTACTTGAATGTTGGATCATTGATTGGGAGATAATTATTTGATAATCTGGTGTAAAGGATCCAGAGTGTTTAGAGTTGTAGAGTTGGTGTTAATCTTTTATATATTCTATGCGTGTATGTAAAGTGGGTTATTTTAGCAAATGGGGCAGTAGGTAATATATTTGATATGGGCAATCTACCTATGAAGCCTACAGATTTGGTACTGTTGAGGTTAGCTTTAGTTAATTTTTTTTTAATCATTGACTTTGGATTGATTAGAAATTTAGTAACTATTGGATATATTTAATCTATGGTATATATAATCCATGGTTATATATAGTTAAGGATCCGTGGGTTTCAGTAAAGAAATTCAACTAGTATTAGAAGTTAAGCCATGGTATAGATGATGGTGAGTGCAGTTAAAGTCAACTCAGATTGGCCGATAATGAGGGTGATTTTTAGAATGTAAGTTAATTAGCAAGTTGCAAAATCTAAGACTACGAGTATGTTATGGTATGTTTTTTATTTATTAATTATTTAAGTAATTAATTAAGGTATTTGGTGTACTCGGGAAATTATGAGGTATGATTACTAAATGGTAAAGATATTTATTAAAGCAATGCTTTTGGTATTTAGATGAGGTATGTGAACTAGAAAGAGCAGTAGTTCGGGACTAACCTCTTAATGATTGGTCGAGATTATCGGATCAGTTAGGCATGGTCAGGGACCAGCCTTATGCGAGTGCATGATTTTGTGTTATGGCCATGGGTCTAATGAGCCCTTATTGTGTGGACGTGATCATGGATCATCTGGATGAGTAGACGCACAACCCAGCCACATGTGTGTATTTTGTAGTCCGGGACTATGCAATTCACACCATTTATTGGAGTGGAGCCAAGGGCTCATGTGAGGTAATGGCATTAGAACGCCAACTGGAAATTTTTTGTAATTTAAATTCTAGATAGGTTACAAATTAACAGTTTGAGTAATATTATAGAATGACGATGATTAGTAGATATTTCGTGGGCACTTATATATGTATATATATACGGATTATAAGCAAAAATTGACTTGCTGAACGATGATAGTGTTTAGCAATTTCTTACTGAGCTTGTAAGCTTACCCCTTTATTACTTTCAGGTGCACAAGGATTTAGCTTGCAAAGGAGGCTCAATGGGAGATGGAGATTTTTTTTTCAGTTTTCCACATATTGATTTTATTATTGTTTCTTAGCTAAAACTTTGTAATAAGATTCATTGTTGGTGGAATTTTTATTAGTTGGGGATGTAATAAATTTCATTTGGATTGATGGATTTTTAAATAGAATGTATTCTTATTGATTTAATCATGGATTGTTGTGGATGAATTAGGTGAGTCACGTACCAGATTTTAGTATAAAACAAGGGTTCTTGTGTTAGAATTTTTGGGGCATGACACAAGTCCATAATATTTTCCTCCAACGGGTTCCCTAACTTGGCTCATCTCTCTCATTTTTGAGACCTCTGTTCTTGACCGACCTCATAACAATCTCAAAATACTACCAAACTTTAATACATTGACATTTCAAGTTGCAATATTTTTGATAAATTAATGCTTCTGATGGTTCTTCACTCACTCAAACATTTAGATTTGTTGAACAACCACTTTTAATCATCCACGACAAGATCCAAAATTTAGGTAACTATTCGTTCATTCACGCTGGTACTACTTTTAATGCTTAAAAAATCCCAATTTCAGCAAACCCACTTCACAAATCACTCAAAAAACACAAACCCATCAAGAAACAGGGTCATCCACACAGATCAAAAAACAAGAAAAACACCCCAACCACCCTCCTATCACCAATCTTTGTGGCGGACATCAAATCGGTGATGTGCATATGGAGGGTATAAAGATTTAGGAAACCTTCCCTAATGAAATCTTAGAAACAAAAAATACAAATAGCATATCACTCCCTTTAATTGGGAAACCGCACAGGGACCGGAAAGTGAGAATCCAACAGTTTCTTTTCAAAAACCAGTTTGAAATCTAGCGTGAAGTAACTCTTGACGTCAATCGAGGCCGTCATCTTCAGGTAAAGAATCTGTTGGTCAAGTAATCGATAAAATGTGAAATCGACGGCAAAGCACCTGATCAACATCGCCACCTACAAAATCAGTATAAACAACGAATTATGCCTGCAGTGAGCTATACCGAGCATTATGCGGTCGATCTGTGTTAGCAGATCGTGCTTGCCTCTAAAAGTTAGGGAAAAAAGGAAAAAAAAAATTTCTTTCTTTTGGTCTAAAGCAAGCATTGTTCTAACATGAGCCACGAGGGTGCAGTGGCGCACCAATTGCACTTGGGCAGCCTATTAATTTTTGTTTGTTTTATTTATACATATAATTTGTAAAAAAAATAAAATTTAAATATCCCTCTTAAAATTATCTTTTCCTACAAATCCCCTTAATTATATACTTATTTTTCTCTCACTTTTATCCTCCTTTTTCATATATATATTTTTTTTGGTAAAATACAGCCACGCCCCCTGAGGTTTGGCAAAAGAATAGACAAATGAAAGTTACTCAATTTTTGGACAATGACACCCCCTCTCTTCTGAAATTCCATCCAAATAAGGCCTTAAGTTATATGAAAAGACAAAATTACCCCTCAATATTAAATTCAAATATATTACAAAATATCAGACCTTGCAAAATGACGTTATAGCCCCTTATATATACATACATACATACACATAGAGGTAGAAAATGTTGGTACTCAGTGACTCTGAAAACGTTCTCGCCACTGACGAGGGCGGTGGCGATGTACCCATAACTTGATAGCGGCGGAGAATCGGCATCGAAACGTATGGCGACGAAATGTTCCAAGAACCAGACGGAAGGGGAAGCCTGGTAGAGCCGTGAAATTGGTTATCGTTGCCGTTGTTAGTGGCAGCTGCGGTGGAAAAGGGTGGTTGGAGGTTGAGTTTCTTGGAGCTGGGTTGTTGTTCTTAGAGAGATGATGACGCCGCATACCTCCCACACAATGAAGAGATCCAGTCAGAGAGGGTTGGGAGGTGAATCGAAGAGATCGGGTGTTGGGAGGCAAATTGGAGAGGGTTGGGAGGTCGACGAGTTGTGTGTCACCGCCTACACCTTGTTGGCTGAGTTGGTGTTGCTGCCGCAGACATCATTGGGCTTCG